GACCAAAAGTTCACGATCGCGATGCACACCTCTGTAGGCAAAAACTAACAATTAAAAATGGCCTAGAAATGGTACCCCTCGGGACCTCAATCAAATATACCAACAAGTCCTAAAACATCATACGAACTTAGTCGAAGCCTCGAATCACATCAAACAACGCTAAAACAACGAATCATACCTCAATTCAAGCCTAATGAACTTTGAACTTTCAAATTATATATCTTGTGCCGAAATACATCAAATCAACCCGGAATGACTTCAAATTTTGCACACAGGTCATAAATGACATAACGAAGCTATTCCAATTTCCAGAATTGAATTTCGACCTCGATATCAAAAAGTCAACCCCCTCCCCCCGGTCAAACTTCCCAAAAATTCAACTTTCGGCATTTCAACCCTAATTCCACTACGGACCTCCAAATAATTTTCCGGACATGCTCCTAAGTCCAAAATCTCCATACAGAGCTATTGGAATCATCAGAATTAAATTCCGAGGTCGTTTACACATAAGTCAATATCCGGTCAACTTTTTCAACTTAAGTTTTCAATTATGAGACTAAGTGTCTCATTTCACTCCGAAATCCTTCCAGATCCGAACCAACTAACCCGATAAGTCATAAATCAATTGTAAGGCATAAATTGAGCAGTAAATTGGGGAACAGGGGTTATAATACTCAAAACGACCGGTCGGGTCGTTACAATTTCTCCTTCCCCATTGGCATCAACTGAAAGTCCAACAATACATTCCAACTCGAAGTCATGATGCATCCAAATAAAATCTATGGACCTAGTCACTGTCCACCATGAATTCCCCAAATTGCTTTAAACTTTCCTCAAGGCGTGTGGCTATCCTACCTCATAACCTATATGCTACTCTGCCACTCTCCCACTTTGGTTAAACCCTCTCCTTTAAGCAACTACTCGACTTCCGCGGAGAAACATCCTGCTCCACGTCTGTAGTACCATTGCAACTCCTCGGTGCCCAATTGACACGGCGTTCAACATCGTATAAGAATGAGTAGGAAGGAAATAAAGGCATAAGCCTCAAAGGAATCAAATCGAACGATGGGGAATCAAGAAGGGGAGTGCTCCTAACAGCCATGTAGCCTCTCAAAGATAAGTACAAACGTCTCCGTACCGATCCACAAGACTCTACTAGACTTGATCATGACTCGTGAGACCCAAGTGAACCTAATGCTCTGATACCAACCTGTCACGTCTCAAAATCCACTATAGGTCATGATGGTGCCTAATGCCGTCGTCAGGCAAGACAACGATGATTTATCAATTTAATTACTCATTTTAGTATTTTTGAAATCGTAATTTTCCTTAATTGATTAATATAAAATAGAATTTACAAAGTAAATAAAAAAATTTACACGAACCACAACAATGAATAATCTGAATGAAACCCCCAAAACCCGGTGTCACAAGTACATGAGCAAATTTCTAAGGAGTACAATAATAATACAATATCTGTCTAAATGTAATAAGACAGATTAAAATGAATAGTACTATAGAGACCCGGTGGACTGCGATGCGTAGCCTGGAATGCAGCTCACATAAAGTCTCCTTAACAGGTACACCTACGCGCCAAGGTAATCATCAATGAACCTGTCAGATCCTGCACATTTAGTGCAGAAGTGCAGCATGAGTACGTAAATCAACGTGTACCCAGTAAGTATCAAGTCTAACCTCGAAAAAGTAGTGACGAGAGGTCGACATCGACACTTACTAAAGGTCTAATATAGCAATATAATAAAAACGTAAGCAGATATGAAGTGCATAACAATAGTGGATAGATTTGTAAGGTTTATAATATTCCAATTATTTCTTTTAAAGCATAAATTTTTTGATCTTGTATTCTACATTAATATCTCAGAATAATGCCAAGTGTCAATACCAAATATATAAGAAATACCATAAAATGCCGGACTTCAATGGAAGGTTTATCGTGTGAATATTCGAACTACTAATGATAACGCACGATTCTGTCGAGGTCATTCGGCCCGATCCGGAATAACATATGCACTGCCGAGGAATGTGCGTCACGATCCATATATGCATCTATACTGCCGAGGCGTTCGACCCACTCCATAAGAAAAGAGGACACTTTATGAACCTCCGGAATGAGAATCTATCACCAGGCTAACACATAAGGATGTACAATTTTTATTAACGGTTGGCTAATTTGCACAAAATTCAAGTATGTGAAATTTCGGTCTTCTACTACTTCCTCAAACAATTTCCAATATGATTCAAGTACTTCAATTAATAAAGGATGCAAACATTACAAGTTATTCATGATTTGGGTCCTAAACTACCCGAACATAGCATAATTAGTAGCTACGCGCGGACTCTCATCACCTAGTGCGTACGTAGCCCCCACAATTAGCAGCAAATATCAATTTAAATCACATATGGGGTTACTTCCCTTTTACAAGGCTAGACAAGAGTCTTACCTCGCTCAGAAGTTCCATAACCGGCTCCAAAGCTCTTCCAACAACTCAAACCGATGTCCATCGCTCCAAAACTAGTCAATCAATGTACAAACCCATAAAAATATACTCTAATACTCATAACGAATCAATTTAAACAAATTCCCAACTCCGCTCGAAAAGTCGATAAAGTCACCCTCGGGCCCACATGCCTGGATTCCAAAATTTTGAAGATAAACATTACTCATAACATCACGAACTCAAATATATAATTTATCCTCAATTTCATGACCAAATTCGTGGTCAAAATCCAAAAATACCAATTTCTAGGTTTTCTTCAAAATCTCATAATTTCCACCAATTTTCATGTTCAAATCCATATATAATTCATGTATTTAGCTTAAAATGTGAAGGAATCACTCACCTTGACATAGATGATAAAAATCTCCCCTTGAAGCCTCCCCAAAATCGCCCAACCAAGAGAGAAATGAAAGAAATGGGCTAAGTCACGAATTTTTAAGCCCTTTGCCCAGATCCTCCTTCTTCACGTTCGCGATGGCCTTCCCGCGTTCGCGATTCCCACTGCCCAGTCGCGTTCGCGTAGGCTAAAGGCCTCCTGCCCCGTTTACCTCATCTCCACTTCGCGTTCGCAGTTGGGCCTCCGCGTTCATGAAGCACTACCAGCCCCCACCTACGCGTTCGCATGCCCCTCTTCGCGTTCGCGTAGGGAAAAAAATCACCAGCCCAGAATCCTTCTTCGCGAACACGTCCCTTCTCCCGCGTTCGCGAAAGACAACATCAGCACCAACAAACCAACAATAGCTTTTCATCCAAATTTGGTCCGAAAACATCCCGAAACACACCCGAGTCCCCCGCGACCCCGTTCAATCACACCAACCTGCCCCAAAACATGACAAGAACTTGCTCGAGGCTTCAAATCACACCAAACAATATCAAAATCATAAATCGTACCTCAATTCAAGCTCAATGAACTTTAGAACTTCAAACTTCTACATTCGATGTCGAAACCTATCAAATCACGTCCGATTGACCTCAAATTTTGCACACAAGTCACATTTGATATTACAGACCTACTCCAACTTCCGGAATCGGAATCCGATTCCGATATCAAAAAGTTCACTCCCTGTCAAACTTTCAAAAACCTCCAACTTCTAACTTTCGCCAAATGACCATGGAACGACCTACAGACCTCCAAATTCACATCCGGACACGCTCCTAATACCAGAATTACCATACAGAGCTATTTCCAGGCTCGAAATCCAAAACGGATATCGATAACATTAAAATACACTTCAGCCCAAAATTATAAAATTCTTTCAAAAGCCAACCTTCCACAATAAGCACCGTAACACTCCTGGGTCATCCAAAATCCGATTCGGACATACGCCCACGTCCACAATCATCACACAAACCTATTAGAACCTTTAAATTCCGACTGCGAGGTCGTTTACTCAAAAGTCCAACCTTAGTCAATTCTTCCAACTTAAAGCTTCTAAAATGAGAAATTTCTTTCCAAATCAACTCTGAACATCCCGAAATTAATTTTCGACCACACGTGCAAGTCACAATACCTGAAGTGAAGCTTCTCGAGGCCTCAAACCGCTGAACGACACACCAGAGCTCAAAACGACCGGTCGAATCGTTACATAAGATTAATAGAAGAAAATAACGGGTAAAATAAAGTGCAGTGGTCTTTCTTATCCAGGGTTTTCGGGCTCGAGCCTGGGAATAAAAAAATCCTTGGTAGAGAATGCTTTTTACGTAACGCGAATCCGGATTAATCGGACTCAAATACGGATAAAAAAAAATAATAAGGTCGGAGGTTCGATAGCTTTTAAAAAGTAGATCATAAGAACAAAAAGTAAAATTGACTTTAAAATATAAGCTCAGGACCTTGAAGTAATTAATTGAAAAGTTTAATATTTTATTGGAAACTTTTGTGAGGACTACAAAAGTCCCCGACTGTCCCCCTGTATAGCTCATCAGTTTCGAGGAAATGATCAAAATAGCCCTTAATGTATTGTAGTTGGTTTATCTTGGTCCTTGATATATACCCCTTAACAGATATAGTCCTTAATATTTGGAAAAATTGGACATTTTTGGTCTTCAACCCTAAAACTAACAGATTTTCAAAAATAATTGTTAACTCTAACATTTGATCCACGTGTAACTCACGTGATTTTAAAAGAAAATACTACATTCCATGAGATTCTAGTTCCCAAACCCGAGTCACTTTCCTAATTTCTCAGCAACTAACAAATGCATCATATGGTCACCCAAGAACCACAAATTTGGTGTCGTATTTACATAAATTTTCCCTATAATTCTTAACTTCAATATTTACTTTTTACTTGGTGCACTACAATGTAGACTGTAATTTATGAATCAGAAAAGAGAAATATCTAGCATTAGATCTTTTTTTTTTCTCACTGAAACTTTGAAAAAGTATCAAAAATTTCACCTAAAATTGAATACCCATTTGCCTAACTATAAACCAGAATAATTTCAATGGTGCAACATCGAAGTGCCCGTGCCGAAGGACTTTTTCAGTTCCGTTCAAGCTCCGGTGACATAGTAAGAAGCGCATTTCAAATCCAACACTGAAAATGACACAATATTTTACCCTTCTTCATCAGTTTTGGAGACGCCCATTAACCCTTAACCGCCCCCATAGGTTTTTCCACCATGTTGGTGCTGAGTTTTTTTATCGGAGCTTAAGTCGGCGGACTGCAGCTTAACTAGTTTCGCCATCGATCAGAGTTTACCGAATTCAGCGGAGTCGGTGGTAGAACCCTTTTGTTCCGACAGAGTAACAATCCGGTTGAATTATTTTTTTTGTTCCGCCTGAGTTTCTTCGACAACCCGATCGACATACGTATTTCTGTTCTTTTTTTTTTTTGGCTCTCACGTGAGTGCCACGTGGTTTAGGCGTTAAAGTTAACGATTGTTTTTGATAAATCTGTTAGTTTTAGGGTTGAAGACCAAAAGTGTTTACGTTTTCTAAATATTAAGGACTATACATGTTAAGGGGTATATATCAAGGACCATGATAAACCAAATCCAATACGTTAAGGACCATTTTGATCATTTTCTCTCGAGTTTCAGACGACACGACCTAGGGTTTTGAAGAAGCTCTTCTTTCTTCTCAAGGCTAAGTTCCAGGTATGATGTTCTTCTTCTCTGCTCTGAATAGCCACCATTTTTCTTCTTCTTCTTCTTATTCTTCTTTCTCTGCTAATTTGTCCTAATTTCGCTATCAACCTATTTCGACCAAAACCCATTAAATCCATCGCTGAAGCATTCAATCGAAGGGGTTCTTAGGGTAGAGTCGAAGGACCCATGCCTTAACAGTGTCCTGAGTTTCGTCAAACGTCGATTTGACCTAAGAATTTTAATAGTATAATTCATCGTTGCAAGTCCTTTTGGGTGTCAGTGTTCTTAGGGGTTCTTAGTTGTTGTTTTTGACATTTTAATCAGCCCATCCCTGCTTTCGTTTTAGTGTTGTGTTTGTAGCTGTTTGCTCCTTTTAGGTGTTTTCCGGCAGTACTGTTAACTCTTTGCTTCTTCTTGTTTTCCGTTAGTTGTATCCATTCAATTATCTTCCTCACTTCTCTTCCCTTCAAGGGTACTCTTTCCGTAATACTACCTATTATCTTTCTTACAGTTTTCACTTTTTAAAGGATTTTTACCAAGATGTCTATGCTAACAAGTGGTGCGGCGGAGGGTCTTCCTGTCAACTTTGTTGGTTTCCAGCAAACTCTTTCATCAATAGTTGAAGATCTTGAGTCTCAGGAGGAGGAGAAGAAGATGTGGGCAATCCAAAAACTCCGAAAATTGTTCAATGACGGTATGGCTAAGACTGCTCCAGCTTCGCTTATGCTGATTTTATTAAACTCGCATATCACTTACTGTCAAATTTTTATTAACAGATGTCACTTTTCTAGTACATGCTCTAGAGTCTGGTATAGTTGTTCCTATACTTGACGAAATTCTACGGGGAGAGGATTCATTTGCTCTCAAGGTAGAGAGTGATGTGCTGATCACCTTTTTGTGCCTTCTTTAGTGTCTTCTGGTTGTAGATTCACACTTGCTTTATTCTTATGGTTTTGCGGTCATAGCTTGAAGCTGCTAAGGCTGTCATGGACAGTATTCCTGATATGATGGAGTTAAGTGATTTGGTGATTGATAGTAAGTTGGTGGAACTTCTTTTAAAGCTTCTGCATTTTCCAGCAGAAGGCTGTCATGAAAATGTTTGTGAGGAGGTATGTTTTAATATTGGCAGACCCCTCTTCTGTATCGACTGAAGGTATGCTTATTAGCAGACTGATTTTTTTTTCTTCCAACTATAGGCTATGGAGAAACTGGGAATTGTTGCTCTCTCCCCTGTAGGTCGTGATTATGCTCTTGAGTGCAGGGCTTTGGATGGTTTACTGGAAATTTTGAACTCTAACAAGATTTTATTGCTGAGAAAAGCCACGCAGACTATATTAGTGTTTTCTAGAGGCAAACCAAAAGCGCCTTTTGAGAAGGTCAGTTAATTACTGTTGAAAATTTTGTGCCTCTGCAATAATTTGGTACAAAACATTACTTATTACAATTCAATTGTCAGGTGAAACCAGCAATCCGAGCTCTCCGTGACCTTGTTGCTTCAAATGTTGATCAAGAGGTGCTAAGAAACGCATGCTGGGCACTTTATTACCTTTCTGGTGGTATTGATAAGAACTTAAAGGGTTCTTGCACTAGCAAAAAAATCACCAGTCATCCTGTTGTGAGCCGGAGTGATATTATTAGTGCTGTCATTGAGGAGGATGTTTTTCCGGTGCTGCTTAAGCTCTTAGAGTGAGTGGAGTGTTTTTATTTTCCTCATTTAACCTACATTTTCATATCTAACTTACTACGATTGTATGTGATATATACGTCAATCGATCTTTCAGACATCCCTCTCCTTCCGTAGTCACCCCTGCCATCCATTTCGTTTCAAGTATTTGCCTAGGAGATGACAGCCAGAAAGAGGTACACTGGTCTTACGGAGCTTTCGTGGTTGAACCCAAACACTTTGATGAACTAATCAATGAAAAATGAACAAATTAAGATAAAATAAAATGATTGAAAGGTAGAAACATCTTAAACAGCATGTAGTGAGATTATAATTCAGCATGTTCCTGATTCAACGCCAAATTTGATGTGTTTACTGCTTAATTTCTAATAGCGCCTCCGAAGAACCCACCCATTTGGTAAAGCTGCCCACCATTTGATTTGTAAATAGGTTCTTTGCCATCTTCAAGTCATGGGGAAGTCCACCTCCCAGCTGCAGCACTGGCCATCTAGGCCCTTTTTTGGCTACATTATGTTTATTTTTTTCTAATTGGTATTCACTAACTTAGCCTTTTTAGATCTTGACTTGATCTTGGGACAAAATATCTATGCATGTAAGTTGGTAATAAGAAACTTGTCCTTGATTAAAAGAAAAAAAAAGGAAAGAAAAACTTGGAGTTGTCTAGATTTAGGCTGAAAAGCATCTTCAGCACTCGAAGATTGTGCGTGTAAACTTTCAAACTAAATATCTCTAGGCATTGTCCATTTTAAGCCCAAAATGATGAAAAACATATCCCACAATTGAGCAGTAATTTTGCAATGTAGAAATAGGTTGTTTGTGTCCTCTGGTTGCTCTTCACATAGAGAGCATTTGCTGTCAATGGGCATTCTTCATCTTTGCTAATTAGACTGTAAAACATGTTTTTTCCCCTACTAACCAAGTGAAAATCTGAATTTTGTAAGGAACTGATGAAAGCCCGGGGCACTGATGGCCGTGACGTTCTTCATTATCTGTCGGGCTTGCTAGATAGAGGAAAAGAGGAAAGGATGGTCTGCCAGTGTATAGCATATATTACTCTTGGGAGCTGTCCGCGGGCAAAGGTACGTTGTCTGGATATAATAGGACAGCTAAATATATTCAGCTCTTGCATATATTGTGTGCATGTCTTCTAAGGTGCAAATTTACATATCTTGGGTCGTCAAACAGGGAGTTCTTTGCAATTTGTTCCCTTAGCCTATTCAATCATCTTTAATCTATCCATAATTCTTTACGCTACCAACTGCTGCTGAGATGTTCCAAGGGCTAATCGCAATAACATTTGACATGTTTTCCTGCCTTCTTCAAGGCTCAAGCTTCCACCTAAGGGGCCGTTCGGGTGCAATGGTGGGATAGCTAATCCCACCCTTTTAGTGTAAAATTTATCCCGGGATTAGCTAATCCATACAATCAAATGTGGGATAAATTTAATCGCAATTTCTATACCGGGATATCCCACCTTATCCTATGAACCAAACTACCGCTAGAATCTAATCTATCTTCATAAAAAGCACATTTTTAAAATAAAAAAAATATATTTAATTTCTGTTTTCCTTTGCGAAATAAGATCTTTCATGATTTTGAAAAGAAAGGGGTGGTAGCAGTCTTCGTCCCTGTGTTATTGCCTAATTTCAGTTTCAGTCCTTTCACTAACGGAGACTTAGCAGTCAAAACAAAATGGTTTACTACTGAGAAGGGCAGTTTGGGCATTACAGCGACACTATGTTTAGCTTAGGGTGCTACTTTTCCAGATTGGTTGTACATACTACATAGCAACTTATTTCTTGTAAAAGTGTACAGATTCACGTGGCAAGCAAGATGATCAAGTTAATTTCACAATAAAACACCACTTTCCTTTTCTACTCTTCTCTTTCTAGATCTATCTTTTTATCTCTTCTCTGTCTCTCTTCGAATCAAATGCAGCTAAATCCGATGAAATCTCAAGAAGAAAGTTAAGCTTGTTTCTGAATTGGGTTGTGCTTACATTTGGGTTATTCATTGTTTTTAAATTGCTTAAATTTCGGGGATATACATATCTGAACTGGGTGTAATTTGTTTCCTAGAATATTCGTTAACTATGTTGCGCGTACTCTTCAAAATCAGAGACGGATTCAGGATTTAAATTTTATGAGTTTAATTTTTAAGATTTTTAACATTGAACCCATTATATATTTAAAGTTATGGGTTCAAATCTATTATTTTTGCAATTTTAATGAATTTTTACACATAAATTTCTACTCCGCGTCGAAAGTTATGGGTTCAATTGAACCTGTAACTCTTACACTGGATCTGCCTCTCAAAATGCCGCTGCACCCGTGTTGGATCCTCCAAAAATACATTACTTTTGGAGGATCCTCGGGGAGTGCGAGCAACCTAGTTTATTAACTGATTTTTTAATTGCTGCTGAAATCCATTGCCTGTTTGTGTCGGTGTTCTACAACTTCTCATTTTTAAAGTGCCAGTTTTCAGAGTTTGCTATTTTTTTGGTTATAAAGATTGATTCTTTCTATGCTGAAAGATTTGTTTTTTTATTAGAACTCTTTCTTTCTCTGCTCTAGTTTAGACAAGTCGAGGCATTGTCTAGTGAAACTCTTATTAACCATAAAATCTTTCCATCTTTAACTGCTAAGTGGATGTCATTGAGCTGATACTGTGAATGCTGCTTAGCTTAGCTAGAAGAAAGAACTAGTAGAATTAAGCATGGCGTTAAGAAACAATCATCAATGGATCAGAATTAACTCACATCCAAATGGAAGAAGACAGGAGGGCTGGTATATGGTTGTGAGGGAAGATAACCATGGAAAGAGTTCTAATTGTTTCTTTTTCGTATAATTGGGTCTTTTTAAAAATGTTCTTGCTGTAATACCCAAACTGCCCTTCCCAGTATTAGACATTTTGTTTGGACTGTTAGTCTCCATTAGTAAAACAAATATAAGCGGTCATTTTGTTTACTTAGAGGTTAAATGTGCTAACCAAATAACACATGGACCACAACTGGAATTAGGCAATAACACAGGGACACAAGCTGCTATTTGCCTGAAAAGAAATGAAAAGATTAGGGGGTAAATCGTAAAAAATAAAAGGATAAGGGATGCAAAATACAAAGAACACTCAAGTAGCTGGATATGAGAGTGAAATAGTTGGAAATAGAAATTGGATTTCTGAGTTGTGGATATGTTTTGTCATAGCCCTCACCCCCACCCCCACCCACAATTTTGTTTTTCTTTTTTTCTTTTAATGATCGACTTCTCTGCTTAGCCATTTATCTAAATAGTTGTCTGTAATTTTTGAGCAGGCTGTATTTGATGCTGCTGGATTAATAGACCGTCTACGCCATCTGGCTGAAACTAAAAAAATGGATGTTGCTGCTACTGCAATTGCAAATGCTATTATCGGTATCAGTGATGAGTCGTACATCAAGTATGTAACCTCTTTTTCTCGGTTCATCTCTCTGGTATACTGATATTTTTATTAACTCTGATGTTTTTTTTTCGTGCTTTTGGCTTTAGTGAATTGGTGGATTGCTGCATAGGTCCTCTGTGTGATTATCTTGACGTCTTTGGTAGAAAAATAATTTGCACCATCAGTCTAAAAGGACTAGAAAACATATTGGAGTATGGGGAAAAGCACAAGGGACCTGACGGCACTAATATTTATTCTAAGCGGATCGAAGAGGCTGGGGGATTGAAAAATCTTAAGGGCATGTGTTGTTCTTTGACCATGGGACTCGAGGCTGATAAAATATTGTGTAAATACTGGCCTGTCTACGATACCTCATGGTGAACATACTTATCAGCTGCAAGGGTCTCATTGGAATCTTAATTTGTTTGTTTTGCGCTCTAAGGATTCGTTTTGTGACTATTCATGTGTGCACTTTGGCTTAAATGGGCGAAAAAGTAAATTTATTCGTATTTAATGCCTTGTTTCATAATGCCTTTCTTGTTCCAGCTTTTGTTTTATTGGGGTTATGGCTGTCCAACGGGACGGGACAAAATTAACGGGACGGGACGGGACGACATTTAATTGGGACGGGGCGAAACGGGACGAAATGGTAGGCCCATCCTGTCCCGCTAACAAATGGGACGGGATGGGACGGGATGAAACAGTAGGCCCATGCTGTCCCGCTAACAAACGGGATGAGACGGGATGGGTTCGCGGGCCTTAAGTGCTGTTTTAAAAATTAATAATTATTTAAGCATTGAGTTTGACAGCGGCTGTTCTTTTGACAATGACTAAGTTTTTAAAGTTTGCAACGGCTAGTTTTTTGACTTATTTAATCCATATCGTCATCGCTCCCAGTGCTAAGTATCTAATTGTATTCTTCTTCTTCCCTAGTGGTTAATTTTTCAAAACCAAGATTTTTTCTTTCTGAATTAATCCAATATCTGAATAATACGGAAATCTCTAGGCTGTCCTCCGCTAATGAATGTCTATGATCTTCGATTTGAAATCTTGCCGCGCTAAAAGCACTCTTCGATGCTATTGATGATGCTTGAATAGTAAGGATATCTTGGGCCATTATTGAAAGTGTTGGAAAAGTCTTGCCATGCTCCTCCACCATGCCAAAAGTTGTTTGTTGCCTTCTTCGTCTTTAATACTTTCCAATCCTTGATTAAGATAAAAATCAAGTTCATCATCAATAGAGGAATCAAAACTTGTTATATCATCCATATCTTCCCATAGAACTTCTACTCTAGACTTAGAAGTAGAAGGAGCAGTTTCACCACCTGTTGTTTCCATAGATTTATATTTATCAAACATTGATCTAACATAAGAATATATGTTAGCTTGACAGTCTTCGAGAGTTGGTTGTTTATTTTCTTGAATTGCTAAATTCTCATAAATTTTACGAACAAATCCATTTGCACCTCTTAATTTTAAAGATGGGTTAAGTATAATAGAAATTAAATAAAGTTGGAGAATAGGGAAAAAATACTTTTTAAATTTTGCAACCATTTCATTAATCGCCGGTGCATAATTTGGCAATCATTTCGTTGTCAAATTGTCTTTGTAAAGTTTCATGATCTAGTTGTTCTCCGAAATTAATATTATAACATGCAGGGGGTTGGAAAAATGAAGTTTCATCAACATGAGCCATTTCATCTATATGTTTTCTAATTCTAGGAGAAGGGTTAGGATTAGGATTACTACTACTTTCACATTTACTACTTTTTTACTAGTTTTTTTTAAAGCCAAATACATTTTTAGGTGCCATAATTTAAATATGAAATTATATTAAAAAAGTTAACACAAAAATTAAACACACAAATGAAATACAAAAATAGAACACGTAAAGTAAACACAAAAATTAAGCACTAAAATAATATACAAAAAATATATATTAAAATTAGGAGATGGAACGAGTGCACCGTGATTAAATATTGAAACTTGAAGAAATTGCCCAAAATATTGCTCCAAATACTTGACGAATTAATTTGAAACTTGAAAGTTGCTCCAAAAATTTGCCCGAATACTTGAAACTTATCACTTGATAGTTGATAGTGAGAAAATTGAGAGAAT